TCTACGTAGAACGTGGGGCGATCATTCGGGGTGGGCGAGCTCTGATCGAGCTCCTTCCCTCTAGGCCGGATGAATATCAATCCCTCCGCGATCACGGAGAGTGCCCCAACGACACTGTCGACCGCATCACCGACAGCAATGTGACGGAGCTGCACACCTCGGGTCGACGCCAAAGGAGCGATCCCCGATATGTGGTCATGGCTATCGATGCACGTTTCTTCTCCATGGAAAATGGGGGCATGCATATTACTCGTCAGGGTACCTTTGCATCGCGCGAGAACATCGCGATCGGGTACTGGAGATGCGTCTACTTCAAGGAGGACTGCTCCATCATTTACCTGAGGCCTTGGTGCTATCCGCCCAACTTCCTCAACTCCGTGAGTGATAACCCGAGGAAGTGTCGGGACGAGATGGAGAAGTATCACCAGATCACCAAGACGGAGCATGTCCGCGAGGTGGTGTCCGCTCCATGCCATAGGTGCATGACGGCCCACCCGATCGGCGCTCACCTGTGCACCGCCTGCTACCTTCCCATCTTCTATGAGGGCGTCCTGCCCACCGGAGACACGAACGGCGGCCCTCGCACGATAGCGAGCACCGACGGGGTGATTCCTCCCTGGCTGGCAAAATACGAGGGCGTCGTCCCCGCTCTGTGGAACAACGCAGACGCCAACGCCATCGGAATGGCCCTCTACTCGCAGAGTCCCGCCGTCGATGCCCGGTCCTTGTTGATGTCTGGGATGCGGCCTCCTAAGTACCTCGACAAAGAGGACGTGGATGGCATTTTCCGAAAACTTCACGACTCGCTCCGAGACGAAGTTCTTGACGGCAAGTACCGTGACACGGTCGACCACAATGTGGAAGAGTGGGTCGCAAAGGCGATCTTGGTAAGGGGTCTTGCCTTCAACGGGAGCTCCGTCCCCGACTTCTTCGAAGAATATGAGGGATATGCGGCTGAGTGGGGCAGACGCCTAACCACCGCAAACTTCAACGCCAACCGGTGCGGCTTCTACACGTCCTACTACATGGTTGAGGCCCATATCATTGGGCTGAGATCAGGGCACCTTTCTCCGATACTCCCCAACGATGTGTCCGGGGAGGGGTTCAAGGCCCAGGTGGGGCTGCTCGCACAGCACTGCGGGATAATGCAGGCCATGCGGAGAAAGGCCGGATTCGATCCCGCCGCGCGCCTCAAACAGGCCATGGACACGATACGGGAAGGCATTAAGAAGGGATACATCTACACGCTCAACGACCTCAGCAGTATGGATGATCTGATCTACCGGACGTCCACCGTTGCCTACGACACATGCTTGGCCGACCGTCCTCAAACCCAGGATGACATCAAACAGGAGCTGGCTGACCCTGTACCAAGGAAATACCGCTTCCGACCCCGCGATCGCCATCGACCCGGAATTCGCCTTACACCAGGCCCCGGCGTGAAAGACGAAGACGAGCCCGACTTTGCTGGATCAGCGGAGGATGAGCTGGGATCGGATGGGTCTTCGCACAAAGATGACGAGAAGCCTGACGACCTTGACGAGCCCATGGGCGACGACGAGGAGGAGATCCCTCCCCCTCCGCCACCGCCCCCGGCTCCTCCTGCGCCGCCTATCCCGGTAGAACCGGAGACTCCCGTGGTGTCGCACGCAGGCGTCGGTTCTGGCGAAGCTGTGCCAACTCCTCCTCCTCCTCCTCCCGCTCCCATTGCTGCAGGCGTTACCACGGCTGGGGATCCGTTTGAGGAAGAGGACATGGCCGTCAATACTCGTGTCCCTGACACCGAGTCCGAGCTGGAGGGTGAGTCCGACCAACCCAAGGCCAGGAGGACATCTCGTGGTCGGGTCCCCGCGCCCGAGAAAGGGCAGGGGGGCGTTCAAGTCCCGCCTGGCGGGCAACCCAGCTCTAAGAGCATGGCCCAGCCTGCCCGTCCATCCCCGGTCCCCGCGAGAAGCGGTGCGGAAGGGGGGGAGAGAAGGGGCAGAACCAAGGGTTTCTACACCCAGAAGGATCCTTTTACCGGCGAGGACGCGACTCCCCGGGTTCGTCTTCGATCGGGCGGTCCCGGAACTCCTGCGTCCCCACCACGGGATGCCACCGGTTCCTTGGGCGGCCATGGCGGCTATGACCCGCGCGATGACGACAACGATGAGTGGGAGCTTCCCCCGGGCGTGCCTCGGACCACTCGTGCGGCCAATGAGTCACGGCCCCACCGAGATGACGATCGGTCAAGGACCGCGCTTGGGGCCCGCGAGGATCGTCGCGGCCCTAAGGGTGAGGGGAAGGGTCGAGGAAAACATCGACCTGGCAAAGGTGGACGCGAGGATCCTGGCCCGCCCCGACAAAGGGATGATCGTGGCAGGGATACCCGCGGAGGCCGACGCGATGATCGCCGACCTCCTCCACGTCATGAGGAGCCATCCGAGAGGCGCGGTCCGGGGCGAGATGAGCGCCGCGGACGTGATGACCCGGCTGATGACCGTCGCGATCGCCACCGGGACCGGCGCAGGGATGACCGACGTCACCAATCAGATCCCCCTCCGCCTCGCCGACCTCCGGCTGGCGACCACAGTAGGGGTGGTGGTGAGGATCGCCGTCGGGATGGAGGAGGTGATCGAGGTGACCGCGGTGGACGCCGGAGAGACGACGCGCCCAGAGACCGGGAAGAACCTGGTTCAGGGTGGTAGGCAGGTACCGCGATCAGCATCCGCCTTAGAAGGGCGAGGATGGCACGTGTGTCGCCGAAAAACGCGACCGCGCCGATCCTCCTCTCGCCCATGCGGCACTGCTGGGGGTGATGGTCTCCATTGCCCTGTACCGCTGATCCGGCGTTGTTCGTGTCCCTCCCGCACCGCTGCCGTGCGCGCTGGAGACGGTTCCCCTGGCGATCCTGTGTGAGGCTGTGACCGCACTAGAAGTGCCGGGCCGGCCGTAGCCGGATATTTTCACACCAATTTCGGAACGTCCTTTTCTTATTTCCTCCCAACTCGACTACTCCTCCAACCACTTCACGGCGTGCAGTGAGGCGCGGTGATCCAGATAGGGTCCCCCTCCGCATGTTGTTGTCCCATGACAATGCATGAACGGCACGAGAGGAATCTTCGTCTGGTTCCTCCAATATGTCCTTGTTCACTCATGTGGTCCACTCGTCAAATAATCCTGTCGCCCCGATAATTCGGGGTGGTGGCGGGATTTTAACTGGGGCCCAGGTGATGCCGTTTGGCTCACCTCTGAGTTGACGCCGGCATTTTTGGTTGGTCCCTTTCGTCGTGAACTCAACTGTCTCGCATCCTTTCTCTCGTCCAGATATCGGATGAGGGGGGTGTGTTTTGTTCACGTGTTGTTTCTTCATGTGGCAAAACGGCCGAATGGCCGTTTGGCTCAAGTTTTCAACCCCCCGTCAGTTTAGCTCTGGCACCACGTGCGGACGCCATACAACGGCAGCCGCCCACATCACCGGGAAAAGGTCTCGGTGCTGGGGGCAGCTGGTTGTGGGAGGTATCCGGTGGTGCGGCAGGGTTTGCTGGGCTTGGTTGAGTACTTATACTTCTTCAACTTGATTCCCAACTTCCCCAAACTTCTCTTTACCAACCGTCACTTCCTCAACCCGGTCATCATCCACAGCTTCACCCGAGTTGTGATTCCGGGTGCTTTGGGTACATTGTGATCTTCTTGTACTCATTTGCTTCCCTGGGCTACTTCGTGTTCGCCCAAAACCGCAGGGGGCAGACCCATCCATTTTCTGGGCCCATGGTCAGAAGCCGAGACAACGCCAAGGCGGCACCGCTGACCATCGGCAAGAAGTGAAGCCACAGATGAGCTCACAGGTTGCACCAAGGCCAAGGACTATGCGGCGTAGTGCGTTTTTTTGGTCCAAAGGGAAACCAAAAGCACCAGGGGCTCAACTTCCCCCCTCTATTTGTGCGAGCTGTTTTCAACCCGCACTGCTGCCCAGATGGCGTCTGGGGGCAGCGTTGTGGAGTTGGGCCATTTGCAGGCCTTGAATTGAACCCCCGACGACATTGGCAAAGGATTGCCCACCCGATCACCCGTCCGTTGCTTTCCTTGGCCTTCAGCTTGTCTCACCTTTGCATGATCGTCTCACCGCGAGCTTCCGAGCGACGTGCCGCGGCCGCTCGGGCTTTGCGCACGCTGCTGCGAGCAGGAAAAGGGTCAGGGAGCGTCTGGCCGGCATTGTCAATCAGGGTTCAGTCCAAGCCGTGGATTGAGGGGTTCAACTCTCCAAGAGTGAAGGATCTCACATTTAGTGGGACGCCCTCAGAGTAATTTGCCAACCAGGCGTTCATGAATCCTTGCTTCCCATTAGGTTTCTGCGGGGGTGAATCTACATGTCACCTTCGTGCTTGAACAAAACAAATGAGTTTCTTTCGGTTCGATGTTCAAACGGGGAGTAGATGGAGAAACATGGAGAAGTCTGTGCTATGTGTCAGGTTTCGGTCCATCTCCCAGGTCGTTCCACAGCAAGGGGGAACAATATCAACACCAGCTTACTCATAGGAGATGTCCCTGGGCTTAGCGGAGAGTTGATTCAATTGATAGAACCCGTCCTGCTTAGATCCGGGGTCAACATTACCAACAAATTGCCACCTGGCAGGCTCCATTTGCCTAAGTCTGGAAGAAGTACTTCCAGTCATAGATCCCTTTAAACACCAGCAGTGTCGGACTAGGTTGGTTCTCTTTTGGCCCTCTCGCTGTTTCTCGACGTGTTCGGTTGGCCCAAGCTCAGCCAGTCCACAAGGCCGCCCAATGTAATTCAAGTACAGAAGGTGGAACCCACACACGCACACACACACATACACACATACATACATGTATATACATGTAGAAACGCATTCACAGAGACAGACAAACGCTACAGTACGACTACTGCCTTGACGGATGGTTTCGTTAAAAAAAAGCGAAACAAACAAGTAGCTGTGCCGCCAAAGCCTTTGGCACAGCCATTCGGTACCATCCAGCACCCCGGACAGCGAGCGGCCATGGAAGAGCTCCCCCGCTACAATGCAGGGCCCTTAGGCCCTTGGGCTGGGCGGGGTTGCTTTGGACTTTTTGGCGCTTGGCTGGTTGGGTGTTCTCGGAAAGCTCTGTTCACTTGCCCTCCCACGAATTAACTGCTGGAACCTGACAGAGACCCGGTCTCTTTAAGAGGAACATGGTCCAAAACCGTGAATTGGTGGGAGGGTACCGCCATTCAAACAATCATTGGACTGGGCTCGTGATGTTTTTGCTCTTGGCGCGGGGGGGGGGGTTCTTTTCAAAGCTTCTGTGGTTCAAACAGCCAGCAATGCTTATTTGGTTGAAACAGGTCGGATTTATCCGTCTTGGACCCTCACACAGTTATTCACTTTTTGCAGAAGGAGTCAACGGCAACCAAGAATAGGTTGCTCAAACCACCATTAAAGCAACCACCATTGCTTGATTGCCATTGGGTAACAGGTCTTGAGACTAAACAACTTTTTGGGTTGTGGGTTTTCCGTATGGAGCCCGGTCTAGCAGCAGCCAAGATTGTTTAACTGGAATCGGCTGAACCCTAGGGAAAGATAAGAAATGGGGAACCACCATTTTTGAGAGCAGCTGAGAAATGAGGGTTGGCTCTCAAAGTCATAGGTGTCCTTTTTAGGTTGGCTTGGTTAAAATTAGATGGCGCTGGTTTAGGTGGGGTTTCTTCCATTTACCAGGGCCATCTATTTTTCCAAAAGGCCATGTATGCTCAAAGTCCGAAATGGAAATGGGTTGTTTCCTCTCAACCTCTTCGGGGCTGACGCCTGGCAAAGTCGTGGGCCGGGTATTTCAGATGGCTTCCGCGATCCGAAGCCCAGGGGAAATGGGGTTTTCGGAGGCCTCCCGGACGAATTGGCCTGACTGGGGACGTCGATGTTTCTTGCCGGGATCTTTTTTCGCCTTCGCGTGGGACACGACCTCCACATCAAGCCCAGGGTTTCGAGGGATTCCTCTACGGCGCTCGAGGGCAAATTGCCATGGCCACGAAGTGCTGGCCCCTCCCACTGACATACGGTGGACAAAAAGTCCATTTCGCGCCACCTAAGAAGCCCGAGAATGATATGATCCCCTGTAAATACCAACAAACAATGGTTTCCCATGGTGTCTTGGGTGGTGCGAAATGGAGTTTGTCCATCCACAGTAGCATTTGGGAACTAGCTGGAAGATCAGCTTCCTCTTGAAGGGACCAGGTCCCTGTCAGGTGCCATGGAAACGTGGGAGGGACCTCATTTCCATTGGGAAGGTCTTTTGAGATTTTGTTCTCCCATTTGTCCAATTTGTGGTTACCCCAATTTCAGCCACCACAAAGAAAAAAGGTTTTAGCCCATGTTTCCTCTTCGGGCTTCCTCTTTTTTGGGGTTACCCGATTTCTTGACCCCCCCCCTGTCCCCCCATTGCCCCCCCCCCCCCTCGGCAGCTCGACTCCGGCCGAGGCCCGGGAGTGTCTCAAGGCCCGGGCCGCCTGGGCCGCCTGGCAGGACGGAGTGACGGAGTGACGGAGCCGGCGTCGGCCGCGAGGGAAGTTCTGGGGGTGGGCTCCTTTGAAAATTCTTTTCAACCATCATTCTTTTCAAGAACCGATCGTGTTTTTTTTTACACCTGGGTTCTGATGGTTTCCTGAAAAGATTCGGATCCATGGAAAGATGGTTTCTTTTCAACCATGGTTCTTTAACAAACAATCTAGGGGTTGATTCAAAAACCGGCGTCCAGCGTGCGTGGGGTTGGTTCCTTAAAAAAAAAAAACACCTAGGGGTTGGTTGATTCAAAGCGTGCGTCCTTGTTTGGTTGGTGGAGTTTGAAGGAATCGGAACCCTTCCCAAGAAAGAGGAAACCAGGGGCGCCGCTGGGCAGCTGTGTTCCTTTTCAACCGTCGTTCTTTTCAAACACCGGAGCCGTTTTCCCCTGGGTTTCCGGAGGTCTTCTAGAAAGATTCGGATCCCTGGAAAGACTGGGGAAAATACCCTTAGGGAAGTAGATTTCCGGCGGGGGGGTTTTCCCAAATGAAGCTTGGGGGGTTCAGTTAGAAAACCATGGTTGGGTTCATGGTTGGGTTGGCTATGGTTGGCTATCAAAGGCAGAACTGGTTGGACTATCGTAGTTCCACCCAGCTTTACAACAAGTTTTTTTTTTTTTTTTGAAATGCTGGACCATTTTAGTTCCAAACCTGGGATCTTGTCCATTGTAGTGGCATGCAACCGAGTTGGGGACTTTGTTGGGCCCATCGGGAAGGCTCGGCAAATGGAGCTCCGGGAGCATTGGATGCCGAACCCACATGGATCTGTTTTGTTTTTTGGAGGGTACCCCCCCTTTTCTCGGTGGTTTAAAGGGACATCGACCGGAACCCCATCCCATTTTGGGGGATCCGAAGCCCCGCACGACATCAGGAGAATCCAAAAGCTGGAGGTTTCCCCGCAGGTTTGTGGGTGCAAATCTGTGTTCAGGCATTTGCTTGGGTGGTTTTCTTTGAGGTTGTCTCCCCCATCCTAGGCTCAGGGATCCAGGGGTTTGCAGGCCAGGTCGGCTGCCAAGCATCTGGCCTACTTTAGAGAACCCAGATCGCACTCATTTTGGGGGCTGGTGGGGGGAGCCCAAATAGGCCCGTATTCAGCCCTTAAGAAGGCCTTATTTGAGGCTTATTGGGGCTCCCCCCCTGGGAGAAATCTTGTGTTCGGGATACTTTTTCCAAGGGGCTGACTGCCCTGAGGTCAGACGCCGCGACCTTAGGGGCGAGCTTGCTTCCTACTTTGGAGGGGGGGTTCCTTGGCAACCAACTCTGGAAGGATGAACCCCTTGTAAATACCAACAAACAATAGTTTGCCATGGTTTCAAAGTGGTGTAGGATTTCGTCCATCCGCAGTAGGTGTCCTTTGTCCCAGGGAAACCCATCGACTGCGCTTTTGTGGCAACATGGGGCTCCCACCGTGGAATCTGAGAAGTTTCTAGAAGGTGGGTGTGTCTTTTCCCTAGGGCCCACAAAAACAGCCAACACCTTCCTACAAAGAGGTGCCCCGTTCTTTGTCCCGTGGCCACGGGGTCTCGGGGGGTCTCGGGGGGTCTCTGGAGGACAGGTGTTGGATGCTGACGTGGCCGTCCCTGCTGATTTTTGCGCTCTTCCTGCCGGCCGCCATCGGCACAGCGCAAGGCAGGATGTGGGGGTTCATGCGAGCGCGGTTTGGCCATGTGGGGTGCGGTTTTCGTTTGAATCACTCACTCCCCGACTTCATGGACTTGATCGTCACTTTTCGGGCTTGGACCTTCTAGTGGTAAACGACAAGTTTCGGGGCTTTTTTTTGGGCCTGTCCACTCAGGAAGTGGCTCCCAACGGTTTCCCTTTCGGTTTCATTTTGCAGCCACCACAAGGGGGTTCGCAGCCAAGAGGAAACCGTCCATCTTGGAGGTGCCCGTGTTCGAAGGATCAAGTTGCTTCAAGACGTCCAAGGGCTCTTTCCGTGGTGTCCTCTTTGGGTGCATTGTGGCCGGCAACAAATTGCGTGTTGTCTTGCGGTTTGGAGCTGGTATGGCTGGCCTGTGTGACATTCGCCCGCTTTAATGGAGAAACAACATGTTCTTTCCATTCTACCGGTGAGACAATCATGGTTGTTGTTGGGAAACATTTTGCATTTTTGCTTATTGTGGTTTAGTGGTTGAAATCCAACCACTTAACTGCTAAAACTTCAACATTTTTGCTCCCCTTCCAACGTCAACCAAGCACTCATATGTTTTTTGCTCGGGGGCAGGAGCATTCCATGTTCGCTTTGGACCTCGGGGCTTGGCTGTTCCTTTGTTCTAGGAAGCTAGATGCGGCTTTTGTGAATCCACCCCTCTATACACGATATTAAAGGAGTACCAAAAGAGTTCTAAAAAAGAAGCCGCAGAGGGAAGAACAGGTGAAATCCACAAGAAGGCGCAGCCAAGCCGTTTTCTAGATTTCTTTGCGGCCTTTTCGGCGCGGCTTCCAGAGGAAATTTCAGCGGGAAGACGGAATCTGAAACGAGATAGGTCTTGCACAAGTAGCACTTCATTGCGGCTTATCTTTGGCCATGACACAAAGAGGATGCCCCTCCTCTCACTATCATGGCACCTCACTGGGGCTCACTCCCGGAGCAACTTGGGATGCCAGTGGGGGGAAGGGGACCAATCCAACACATAACAAACCAACAAACCACCCAAGCAACAAACCACCCAACCAACCAAACAAACCAACAAAGCACACCAACACACAGCCAAACCAACAAACCTCCCCCACCCACCGTAGAAATGCCATGATTTGGAATCCAAGTGCTAACATCCTAGTCAAGTTTGAGCTGCCTCTTGGTTTCACAAGATGGAATGATGATTCCCCTGCAAATGCCAGCAAACAATGGTTTTGCAATGGTTTCTCAGGTGGTGCGAACGGATTGTGTCCATCAGTATCGCCAGGCAGCTCTGGTTTCCTGGGTCAGGGCGGCCTCTTCCTCTCGGGCGCCTGCGTGCCAAGGGCCCAGGGTTTCCGTTTCAGATCCCTTGTGAATAACTTGTGGGTTGAAACAACCTGCAAAAGTTTAAAGCAACGATTCCTCTAAACCTTTTGGTTTTCCCGTCACCCACGGGCGATATTTTGCCGTTTTTTCGAAAGGAGCGTGCGAAGACGGACCAGCAGACTCGAAGCACCAAAGTTTGCAGAGCGCAAGCTTCCGCTCGAGAATGCAATGCCCCACCCATAGGGCTGGTCCTCTGCCTTCAATCACCGGTTCAAAGCACCAAGGCACCAAACCCTCGACCCTTCAGCTGCGAAACATCCACTTTTACCAGGTTAAACAAAATGGGCGGTGAGTTAATTCACCTACCCGGCAAAATGAATGCAACGCCTCACCTCGACCTTCAGCTGCAAAACATCCCGTACTGGTGACCTACCCAGCAAAATTTGGCACCATGTGGTCTTGACAACCCACAGCCACATGAGGCTCGCCCTGCCTCTGGGCATCCTGGCCCGCGTCTCCGCGTCGCCCTCGCGCTGGCGCCTGGCGGTGGGCAGCGCGGATGCACACACCGGAGCTTCGGATTTGAGCGACGGATCCTCCAAAGCGGAAAGGTGATTTTAACAGCAGCAAATAGACTTGGTGGTTGCGGACCATCTTTTTTTGAGCAAAAAGGTGAAGTTAACAGCAGCAAGTAGACTTGGTGGGAACCCCGGCCATCTCCTTGGCTTTTTTTAGCTTTTTAGTGTTTAGTGGCGGGGTGTCCATTTAAGCCACTCAAAGTCAAACAGCTTTTAGCAGGGGATGTGAAAACGGACAGCCAAATAAAATTATCGTTTAACCCGTGCGCCATTTGCAATCGATTCCCCTCGGTCCGCTGTCCATCAAGGAGACCTCCTTGAAGAGATGCATCATGTCAAAGATCAAGAGGTAAGAGAAGAAATATGAAAATAATATTTTTCGACTTTTTGATATATGCTTATACATATTTCTATTGCAACTATATTATAGAAGCATATTGCATCGGCGTATAATTTCTTTATTGTTCATTTTGCATTATTTATCACTTTCTTCTTGATATTCTTTAAATCATCTACAATAATATGTGTCCTATCTTTTCATGTATTGTGTTCATGTATTGTAAACTTTAGAATGATGGAAACTCACATATGATCTGCAACTTTCTTATTGGCATTTTGTAGAACTCTTATGGTTATTGAAATCGCTACGCGATCCGCCGACGCCAGTGGACAGCCCCCCATTAACAAACTGCAGGGTGCCTCAAGTTTGGGGTCAGAAAAAAAGACGTCTTTTTGCCTAGGTCATTTTTCATGTCCCAGATGCTGAGGATGCTGGAAATGCAAGGGATGCAGCCACACAACTTACAAGAACAAACCCAATCTTCACGCTCAAGATTTTAAGACTTTCACACACGCGACATTGACCAAACACAGAAAATGCGAGAGTTGTGGGGAATGCTGGGAATGCAGCCGGCTAGCCACAAAAAAGTGCAACAAAACCAGGGTTTTTGAATATTTCCTAAAAGCAGCCATCAAAAACCGATACTAGCAACCCCCCTCAAATACCCTAAGAATAGACTTCCAAAAGCACGATACTGCAGGGGATGTTTCGCAGTAACTGCTCCGTACAGGTGTGGAATTGCAAGAAAACTCATTTTTGCAGATTTCAACAGTTCCTCAAGTGTCACTGCACTTGGCTTCACCCAAACCCCTTAACTGAGTCAAACAAAGTCCATTCGCAAGGACATGCGTTTGCGTCGGGTCACCAGAAATTTCAAACTAGCCAGCGGCATCTGTGTTGCGACGAGCACTGGCACGCGTCATCCGAACAGCATTGGCATGCCTCACAGCCCTGGGAAAGCTGCTGTCTTGCGCAGGAGCGGCTGAGTCCAGGGCCTAGCAGAGGCAGAGGCCCAGGGAACTCCGTTGCTGGCTCGAGCGCAAGGCAGCAAGGGTCGACTCAGGCGAAATTCACACTATGCAAAGGAACGCGTGCTTTTGTCTCGGTTGGCAGTTACTCTGTACTCATGGCTTGTTGCGGGTCTGGGTTGGGAATATGCTGAGCTTCCCTGCCCATCAATTGCGCGCCCGCTGTTTTGGCTTCCAGCCATGCCCATGGAGGCACTGGAAGAGGACGATCTTGCGCCATGCTGCCCAGGAGACCTCCTACTGTGCTCCTTCAAGCAGCGCAACTGCGTGTGGGGCGGCGGCGCCTCTACACTGTGTCTGTTCAGGCGCCGGGGGTCTTCGATGCTGCATGGCGGCGGATTTGCTGGGCAACACCCGCGGAGGCGGTAAACATGGCTTTGGAGATAAGGCGGCAGCTGCTGCGGCGACTGTGGGCCTTGGCGCGGGACCGGGACTTCTGTCGCGAGGTCCGGACGGCGACCGAGTGGATTGAGGACACCCTGCTTTGACTCAGCCGCACAGATATAAGAGTTCTGTCCGAGTTGCCGGTGCTTCCTTGCATGTTATGCTTCTTGCAGTCTGCAAAAATGGATTGCGTTGCTGCGTTACTCGTTGAACTGCGCATAGGCTCGGAGAGAGTCTAGGCACTAGCCTGCCCTATTAGAAAAACTCATTCACTGCCACAAACTCAGCCCTGTGTTGGAAAGTCGGGGTCTTGACACGGTTGCGCAGAGGCGACGTTCCGGCAGAGGTGCATCTGCTCTTTGGCTCGCAGTCATGCGCAACACTCAAAGAAACATCTAACAAGTAGACGCCAGCCACATTTGACAAGTCGTCTCTTTCTATGGAACACTTGGGGTTACGCGCTGGCTACCGCAGAAGGGTCCCACTGGGTCATTCAGACACGAGCTTGTAGCCAAGTAGCCAGCAAGAGCACCGGCCAACGATGCCGTTTGTCTCATGGCGGCGCCACTGGGAGACGCAGCTGGCAACGATGCAGCCAGTGCGGGAACCACGGAGCGGGGACAACGCGCAAGTACAGCGGCAGGCCCGAGAACGCGCAGCGCTGCAGCAAGATGTTGCGGCGCGGGGAGGCCTGGGTTTGCTCAGCTCGTGGCTCCGGCGGAGTCCAACTTCTTGAGCTGGCTGCGCTTTGGTTCCTGGACTGTGTGCTCGCGGTGCCACAGCAAGATCGCGCAGAAGCTCAACCCACGTGCCGGGACTCGCACAAACTGTCTGTGAAATACAGGTGAGGCCATAGCACCGTCTCCAGCCACGGCGCCAATAAGATGGAGGGCGGCAAACTTGAGGGGTCGGAAGAGGCCAGCCACGCATTGTGTTTCCCAAGCCATTCCGCATAGCGTGGACTGTTGTGCACCAGCCACGCAAAAGCCCTCTGCGCTCGTTCTCGCTGCGTTGCCGTCAAGGTCGCGATCTTGGCGCCCACAGCTTTGTCGCTCCAGCTCAGCCGCGTCAGCTTTTCCCGGCGGCGGTAGCCGTGGGCATGCTTCACCGGAGCTCCTTGATGCACTGTCAGCGGCCGCAGGGCCCGAATCGCCTCAGCACTAAGGCCGCAAAGTTCCACGGGCCAGTTCTCTCGCACGATCATCGACGGCTCCCCCTTGCTGCACTGGGCGCACACGGCTCTCTGGTTTTGCGCTGCTGTGTCCTATGGGGGAGAGAACACATCCCACCTGTCTGCGAAGGGCGACTTTGTGCGCAAACTTTTGAGTGACGTTCCGGACTTCGCCTGCGACTATGAACTCTTGCAATTTCAGTTTGATCGCCACATACTGCGCTGCGTGACTCAGAAGGCGACCTTGGCCCGAGCTCGCCGCTGCGACGCCCACACCCTCACGGAGCATCAGCGGTACTGGCGCTGCGGGATCTCTGCCACCAGCTTGGGGCGCCGGACTTATTTCTGACGGTGTCGCCATATGAATGGCATTTTCCTTTTCCCTACTGGGTGGAAGCTCTACATCGGCAAATGAATCTGGGCCCCACGGAGGCTGCGGCCGCAGAGACACTGGCGGTGGCACACGCGATCCCGCAGATGTGCGCCGGTTTTCTGAGCGGCAGCACCGGACACGGGAAGTGGGTGAAACATGTCTTTGCCGACAAGACCGGACAGAGCAAAGGTGTCAGAGCCTTTTTTTACGGCAGACTGGAGTTTCAAGATGGTGGGCGAGAAGAGAGATACGGCAAGGGCCGCGGCAGCGTGCATTTCCACGGGCTGTGGTGGTTCGGCAACGTTTGCGCCTGCAATTTGGAGACGCAGCTCTGCGCAGAATTCCCGGAGGATGACCCAGAGCTCTGCGCGCTGGCTCAGCGGGTCTTGAAAGGCGACCCTTCGCGGGCACCGTTGCAGCGGCACACCAGCTGGCTTTACAGCACCACGCTTGGCCGATGGCTCCTCCGGCTACGGCACTCCGCAGAATTCTGCAGCGCCCGGATGCGGCCTTTTGTGAAGACCTTGCTGCGAGTCTTCCTAGTGCGCCCAGGATGTCCAGTACTGGCACTCTTCAGGCGCGCTCTTGCGATACGTGGCGGGCTACGTTACAAAATTTGCAGAGGCCAGTGATCCCTGGTCAGCCGGACTGCGAGTCTGCAATTCGTGGAAGGCAGAGATGGTATTGACCTTGGCACGGACGGACATGTCTTTCTCGAACGTCGACGCGAAGCATTATCGCCCGCCCAAGCTGTTGGATGCCGAGGACGATGTTCTCATGCTGTATCGGCGCAGGCCCAGGGCGCAAGACAGCTTGAGTTGCTTACAATGGTATCGGCGAACGACCTGGCCCAGCGAGGGCACCCTGCGAGCACAGCCGCGCCATCGGCAGGGCAGCTTGATGGCAGTAGGCGTGGACTACTTCGCTTTTCGGAAGGATGGGTTCTTCGGACAATGGCTGCTTCTAAATTACCCGCACCGGCGCATTCAGCAGTTGCTGCCCGGCGCTATGTGGCGGGTGTCCTCGGAGTGGCGCTGCTTCGCTGCAGCCCTGACATTGCTGCCCGAAACCTGGGGCCGCCAGAGCTTTATTGAGCAACATCTTCGCATGGATGGGCACAAGGAAGAGTTTGTGCAGACAAAGAAGAACGAATTGGCGGCCCGCAACAGATTGGTGACACTGCAGCTGCAGGGACTTTGCTTGTCTTCTTGCGCGCTGGCACCAGCGGCAGCTCTTCCGGCCTTATCCTCGCAGCAAAATGCAGTGGTGCAGCAGCTGTGGGCAGAATTGCTGCAGCGACGGCAACTACGAGAAGACGAAGATGTGGACACCGTGGGGCACGAAGGCAAGTGGAAGTGCACATGCGTCACCGGGAAGCCAGGCAGCGGCAAATCATTTGCCATGCAGTCCTTAGTTCTAGCGGCGGCAGATGCTGGCTTCAAGGTGGTGTTAGTTGCAAGCCCCACTGGCAAACTGGCGACGGTGGGGCCCAAACACCCAAATGTGGTGTCTATGACCTTGCACCGAGCTTTTGCGATCTACGGGGACCTAGCCGAACAGCAGCTGGGTTTTGTTGGCAGCTTTGACCTGTGGCTCTGTGCGAGGTTGGCATGGTGTCCAAACAGCATTGGGAGTACATGCTGATGACTTGGTTCAATGTGCATCGTTGGCCGGTTTTT